GCTTTGTTTTTAGGGGACTCCCAAGCAGTAGTCAGGGGGCGGCCAGTGTCATCCACCATTCTCCACCAATGGGAGGGTTCGCGGTGCAGACCCAGTCACCCGCTGGGGGAGGGCAAAGGTCGTATGTGTGAACCACATTTCACGAGCATCTGAAAGAGGCCGGGATACAATCCAGCATGTCCTGAGATGGGTCTCTAGTCACTGCTACCATGCCTGTGAAGACACCTACAACAGTGTGCCACCATGTGCCTCCTCTGGGCTGGAGGGGAGGGTAGAGGAAAGGACCAGCAGCGAGGGCCAGACAGGCAGCCGCAGAGTCTCTCCCAAACCCGGGGGTCCTCCAAACTCAACTGTTTTCTGCCAATCGGATTCCAGGTGAAGAATAGAGCCCCCGAAGTCTCCCTGCTCCAGTAAATGATCCCATGGGACATGTGATGCCGAATCCAGGGGCCAAGCCACCGGAAACAGGCAGCTTCCGTGAGAGCTTGTGGGAACTTTCTGGAACTGCCTAAGAAGCCACTGAGCCAGGTGATATCTTTTTGTTTTGTTTTTGTCTTGAGGTCATGCTGGCAGTGCCCAGGGCTGACTCCTGGCTCTGTGCTCAGGGATCACTCCTGGTGGGCTCAGAGGACTCTATGGATTGCCTGGGATCAAGGCAAATGCCCACCTGCTGTCTCTCCTGTTGCCCTTTGGATCTGGTCACCCTTCTCAGGATAGAGGCTGTACCCCACCCCCGATGTTTCTTGAAATATCTGTCGGAGGGTCCCTCTCCCACCCCATCCTGAGTTTCATGGAGAAAGAGAAGTCCGTGCAGGAAAAGCAAGCCCCGGCGACACATGCGAGCTGTGCTTGGTTGTTGGTTTTGGTTTTGCATCTGAGGAGCAGCTCTGGGTGGCGTGTGGGAACCACGTGTGCTACTGGAGTCTGAACCAGGGTCTCCCACATGCATGGCCCCCGCCTCGCCTTCCCAGCTCTCTCCACCTGCCCTCGGAGACCTGTTTCAGTTCTCCCCTGGGTCTGATCTCTGAGCTTCAACCCTGGCTCTGTCAGACTGGCAGAGATGATGATAGAATAAATGACTAGAAAGTGAAGTATGGCTTGGTGGGTCCGGGGCTGTGAAAGGACCCTCTGGGCCATCTGGTCCTATAGCCGCATTGAACCACCAGAAAACAGTGGCTGGGAGAAGACCTCCTTAAAGGAGCTCATGCCAGGAACTCCTGATTCTCTTTGACCCCCATCCAAGGACCCCAAAGGCTTTGGAAGAGAAGGAGAAAGGGTGCAACAAGGGAAGGAGAACTTCAATCTCATTGGGTGACCCTATGTTGGTGGGAAAACACTTTTATGCGTCCCAAGAGACTACACATTTTGGTTTGGAGCCTCCTGTAAAGAAAAAGATTTTTCTAATGTTTACGCCTAATGCCAGACCTACAGTTGTTCATGTGTTAAGTACCTTGTTAGAGAATCTTTTTTATTTTATTTAATTTATTTTGGGGCCACACCTGGTTGTGCTCAGGGTTTACTCCTTGCCCAGTGCTCAGGAATCACTCTCAGCCGGAGGGACCATACATGTGGTCCCAGGGGTTGAAACTAGGTCTTTCAATGCAAGACAACAGCCCCACCTGTGATTCCAACACTCAGTTCCCTAGAAAGTTAAAAAGTGGGGCTGACGTGATAGGACAGTGGGGAGGGCATTTGCCTAGCACGTGGCCAACCCGGCATCCCATATGGTCCCCCAAGCACCACCAGGAGTAATTCCTGAGTGCAGAGCCAGAAGTAGACCCTGTGCATCGCTGGGTGTGAAAAGAAAAAAGAAAGAAAGAAAGAATAAAGAAAAAAGAAGGTCAAAAAGCAGAACACACTCTGGTAGTGTCCTCGCTTTCTCCATGAATACCAACTCACACCCGAAATTCAGGCAAGCAAGCAGACCTAACACTGTTCTTGGTGTAATCATCAAGGCACAATGTGTTTTATTGTCCAAAGTCATCGTCCAGATGTCTTTGGACAATAAAACAAATCATACGTGTACAATTTTCTACACCTCTGCAGTCAGTTTTGTGAAGTAGTACACTGGGACAAAAAGAGAGAAACTTTCCACAGGTCACTTTTGATTCTGAATCTGTCCTGCACTATCAAACATGTGGAAGCAATAGCTAAATATTTCTCAGTGAACAAATGTAATTTTAAATTTTACATCATGTAGCCTTATTTGTATTAAAAAATTCCCAATTCCCTTGGGAGGCATAACTTAGATGTGTAGGTGCTTTCAAAAGTGATGAAACTTGTAGTTACACCACAGCTTTGAAATGAAATTACAGTATGAGGGTATAATCAAAGGCATATTTTTGCACAGTTTTGATGAATGTTAGTATATGAAGAACTGGGGGTGGGGGGAGGTCCCTAAGATTTACATGCTTTAATTTCTGTGAGTTGGATTGTATTTTGCTTTCTCCACTTTGAAGAAGCTACAGCTCTTGCAAGCTGCTAAGGATGCTGGATTTATTATGTTTTCATCTCTAATTGAGTTAGGGTGGGTCCTGGAACTGGATCCCTATATCCCTCAAGTGTCTGTTTCTGAAATAAAAATGAAAGTTGGAAGGTATTGGAGTGGGATGAAGGGGCCAATTTAATTGCCTCCGGGAGTGTTCGAACCAATTTTCATTTGCCTCACTGGCGGCGTCCTTGGATACTGGAGAAAGGAAAGGGCGGGGGGGGGGGGGGGGTTTGAAACAGAAAGCCCGGGAACCTTCCCCAGTCACGTGGAGCGGACCGAATTTGAGGCCGTTCTGATGTAGACAAAGCGGGTTGCTCTCGAGAGCCCAGCGGAGGGAGACTTCCAGACCGTCTTTCTGCCCCCGCACCAGCGCCCTCCTCCACCCCGCCGCCTCCCGCACGCGCGGGGAAAGTTGCTGGGGTCTGGGTACGCGCAAACAAAGAGCCGCAGTGACTGCAGGAACCGCCAGATTCTGCGGACCTGGGGGATTAGAGGTTCTTTTGCACTCGCTTTCAGTTCTGGCCAAATTACGTTCCGTGCATAATAAAGGCTTTCAAACTGGTAAACAAGCCTGCGGCCTGGGGGCGAGAAAGGGACCGCACCCCAGCGACTGAGCCCTGCGGGGCTGAGGTGGGGGACTCTCGCGCCTAGCCGGGTCACGGTCCGGCTCGTCGGGACCCGCACCCAGGGCGCCTGTTCCGGCGGCCTGAGCTGGCGACGCCCTCAGGGGCACGGTCAAGGGTGGGGTCTCCCGCGCTCTCCGTTACCGGCGACGGGAACCGTAGACCCTCCCGGCTCCCCAGCCGCGCCGTCCGCGTACCATCAGAGGTGACGGGGTATGGAAGCTGGGCCAGGGCCAAGGATTGTGGGAATCTGCATTCCGGATTCCAGATACTCAGGCCGCCTTCTCATCCGGACCCAACCCGGAGAGGCCCCGGACCCCGAGGGAGATCCTTGGGGTGCCCATGTAGGCGCCGGACGGGGGTGATGCCTTTAGCGACCTTTAAGAGAAGGCTGGGGCTTCGGCTTGGTGACCCCGGGAGGGGTCTGGGGAGCTGAAAGGACGATGACTCAGGCTGGAGTGACCAGCGAGCGTCTCTGACCCTCCAGGGGTACAGGAAAGGGTGCCTGGGGTTCAGGAGCGGGGCAGGGCAGGGAAAGAGGTTTGCTGCCAGCGCCTCGCGCTCGGAGACGCAGTGTTCCCGCGTGCGCCGCGTCAGCACCAGCCCGGAGCTCCGTGTCGGCGGGGTCGCGCTTCGGCCCCTCGATGTTTGCGGGGGGCCGCCTCGGAGCACGCATCTACCGCCGTCCTTGGGGAACACCCGAGGGACCAGGACCCCCGCCCGGCCCGCGCGCGCTGCGCCTCCCACTCCCCCGGCAGTTCCGCGGCCCCCACGGAGGCTGCGCTGTAGCCGCGAACGAGCCCGGGGTGCGCGGAGAGGCGGGTGTGAGCCCGCCCAGTGCCGCGGGGTGTTCCGGCGGGTGCCCCTCGAGCGTGAGGGGGGCCTGGCTTGGAGAGGGTGACAGCGCGCCGTTTCTCCATTTCCCGCACGCGGCTCGCGGGCTCCCGGCAGGACCGTGACCCACCGTCGGGGTTCTAGGTCTGGCCTCCATCCGCGGGGATCTGTCAGTCAGTGTGGGCTCGGGGTGCTCCCCGTCGTTGGGCCCGGCCAGTGTCCACAGGTCCGCCCCCACCCCCTTTTGCTTGACGGGCCGCCGAGGGGACGGTCCCTTTCCCGCCCTGTGATCTCCAGGGGTGCCCACACACCAGGCCCGGCCCGGACTCTGCGTCCCGCTGCGCACTGGCAGCAACGCAGCTGCAAACTTGGCCCAGTGGCCCCGACAGGATTCCCGTCCTCCCGGAGTCACGTTTCCTGGAAGAACCTCTCGGGGCCGGGAAACGGCGGCATCTGTTTAGGGAAGGGCCGTGGTGAACGCTCTGTGGGGCAAGACAGAATCGTGCCTCTCCCGCCCCCCCCCCCCCCGCATCCCTGGAGCTCTCGGGGCGTACCTAGCGCAAGTTTGCGCACTTGGTCCATGGTGGGATGCTGAGAGGGAAGACCCCGAGATGCCACAGGGTCCCGGGAGGTGCCGGCTTGGTCCGGGTGTCCCCGCAGAAGGGCTCGCGGCCCGGCGCGCAAAGGGAACTCTGCAGACGGCGTGTGTGGTGGGGGAGGGGGACTGGAGGCCGGGACCCGCGACCCGCGGGAAGGACACCCGGAGCACTGGGCCCGGGAGGAGTGTGCCCTGCGGGAGGAGGGCGGGGACCGGGGCCACTGGGTCCGGGAGGAGTGCGCCCTGCCTGGAGGAGGGTGAGGACCGGGAGCACTGGGTCCGGGAGGAGTGCGCCCTGCCGGGAGGAGGGACGGAGGGCACTGGGCCGGGGGGAGGGCGGACAGAGCCCAGAGGCGCGGCCCTCTCCGTGGCGTCAGGACTCGCGCGGGCGCCGAGTCGGGCCGTGGAAGGAGTTGGCTGCACACGAAATAATCAGCTGAAGCGAGAGCCGGGCATGCGCACAGCGCGGATGCCATATTGGAGGCGGCGGCGGCGGGAGTCGGAGCACCCGAGCGGGCGGGAGCGGCTCTGCGGACCCAGCCAGGCCGGCGACCCCTACGACGGTGCCCCCGGCCGGCCGTGGCCCAGCCGGGGGGAGGACAGGCCTCAGCAGGTAAGACGCGGGTCCCCGCGGGCTGGCCGCGCCGGGAAGCGCCGCTGTGCAGCTCGGACCTGCCGGGGGTGCGGGCGCGGGGCGCGGGTTCGGGGCAGGAGCGCGCTTAGCGGAACCCCAACTCCGCGCCGCCCCCAACCCTCGGTCCCGACCCCGGCCCGCGCCCCGGCCTGGAGAGAGGTCGGGCACTCCTGCTTGCAAAGTCCTGCCTCCCGCGCCCAGCTCCTCCCGCGTGCGCTCAGTTTCACCCTGTCCCTGCCACCCGCGTTCCCACGTCCTCCCTCCCCCCCCGCCCGCGCCCCTGCCTTCTTTTTCTTTTCTTTTCTTCTGTTTTGCGCGTGTTGGAGGGCGGGGACTGGGGGCAGAGCGAGGAAGAAGATGTTGGGGTGAGCACCGCAGGTCCGCCCTCGGGGGCTTCGGAGTTGGGGAGACGTTGGCGATCCCCCCCGCGCGGAAACGTTTGCGGGTGCAGCTGCAATGAAACAGGCGACCGTGTAGCTGCGGAGCGCGCTCCAGGGCACGGGTGATCTTTGTTTTCTCCAGGTTTTTTTTTTTTTTATCTCCCTCCCCCCCCATCCCTCCTACCGCTTTACAGTAATATCCTGTTACTCGGGGCTGGTGTCCACACTCTTAGGGCCCCTTCCAGAAGGACGGGTTGGATCTGGCTGGGACGGTTTTAATGTGTTGGAGGGGGAAAAAAACACTCCAGGGCGACTGAATGCGTTTGCTGATTTGGAGCGGGGCCGGCGGAGGAAGCAGCGGGGTCGGGGCTGCCGGGGCGCGGCCGGGGCATTTGGGCATCTGGTTTGCACGCGGGCTGCTGCGGGACGGAGCGTGGAGAAGCCACGTACAACATGGCGGGCTAAGGTGGCGTGTGAAAGCTGGAGATGCGGGTTTGAGGTGGGAGAAAACCCGCCGCCGGTGCCCACCCCTTCCTTTCTGCTCCCTTGAGTGAATCAAGTGGGGAAAGAGCGAGTGAGCGAGGAGGCCCTCGCGCCCGGCCTTGGCTGCAGCACAGAGGAGCGTGCGCGGGCCAGGGCGCACGGGCACCGGCGCACCCGCGTGGCTTTGGACGTGCGTGTTCACCTGCGTGTGCAGTGGGGGTGGGCGGGGTGTCTCGGGAGATGCGCTCGTCGTGCGTGTGTCTTGGACGCCCGCCCACGGCTCTGCTTTGGCGTGACAAACTGGCGGCCCGTGGTGCGGGAGGCGTGAGGCCGAGGAAATGATGGATTGGGGGTTTCCCGGAGCCCAGCTGGTATGGGTACAGCGCCACCCGCGTAGTGGCGCCAGGAGGGCCTGTCAGGATGTTTGGTGCCACCGGACTTTGGTAGCCTGTAGGTTTGGAGTGAGCACCTCCGTAGTGGGGCTGGGGGGAGAGGGGAGGTGGAGGGGACGCACAGGAGTTGCGCTCTGGGGAAGGTGGGCATGGGACAGCTGGGAAGAACCTAGTGCCGCTTGCTTGGGTCCTGGGTCCTTGCTCTGTATCCAGGCTTTGGTTCCGGGTTGAGGGGCTGCGAGGTGGGGGAGGGGAAGGGGGACAATGAGGTGCCTTTGAGTGGAGTTTGGGGACAAAAGCACAGCTCCGAGGGAAGCCAAGAAACGGGGTCCTGGACAGGGATGGCCAGTGGCCTGGACGCAGGCTCCTTGTGGAAGTCAGGTGGCCCTGCAACTGGGTGAACCCTCGCTGTTGGTGGGGGCGGGGGGAATGGGTGGAACTTGGTGGTCCCAGACACTTTCAGGTCTTCGGGGTCAGATGTTGACCAGCTCTGTGGTTAGTGCAGTGAAGTCTGCGGGGTCGCACCCCTGGGCAGTGCCAGTGACACTCCACAGGGCGAGGGTGTCCAGGATCTTGGTCCAGGAGGGATCCTACCCTCCTCCCACCCTGCACTTCCAGGCTGAGCGCATCCTCAGGGCTCTGCTCTTGGGTGGTCCCCGCTGAGCTGCTTGGCCTAAAATGTCTCAGTGTTAAGCGCCCCGAAACCAGAGATTTTGCACCGAGCAGTGATGTGGACAGGAATGTACAAGCGATTACAAAGGACGTTCTGCGAGGTCCCTGCTGGGCCAAAGTGCCCCGTTTGGGGGGAAGAGCAGGCAGAGGCTGGACCCCACCAGTGACCACCTCCCCAGCACTGCGGGTTCTTCGGGTTCTGGGCGCCTACCCGCGTGCACCCCTGGGCGCGGGCCCTCGGTGCGGCCCCAAACTTCTGCCTTGCAGTTTCACTTTCGTGATTTTCACGATCTCTGGGTTTCTAGAGTTGATGGGGTTCCGGGAACGGCGCCGACCGGACCTGGGGTGGAGATCTCGGGTTCGTGCGGTCGGCAGTGGTCAAATCTCTTTCCCCCCCCCCCCCCACCTCCTCCCCACCACCACCCCGCGCTCTGGCGTCCCCGCTTTGCGCAGTGGAGACCCGGCGCTCAGCACACACCCTCCCGGCTCTAGGGCGCGTTTCCCGCGGCCGGCTCAGATATGGGTTCCCTGGGGCCAAGGGCGCGTGTCCTGGGGCCCCGTGCGCGCTGCCTGGCTCCGAGGGCGCGTGCCCCGGTGGCTGGCTCCAAGGGCGCCTTCCCTGGGGTCGATGGCGCGTTCCCCGCGGCTCAGCCTCTGCAGCTCCCGGCCCACAGTGAGGAAACTGCCGCCTCTACTGCAGAGCCGCGGGGATCCGGCTCCATCGCGGCCGCCCGTTGCTCCTGCACGCCCACGGCGAGTCCGGAGACCCGGGAAACCGGGGCACACCCTGCCCCAGCGTATGGATGGGGGCGGGCTGGTTTTTGCAGGTGGGCGCAGAGCAGCGGGGTTGTGCCCCTCCCCCGGGAGGCAGGGAGAGCAGAGCGGAGGAACGAGGGTCTGCAGGCCCCTCGGCTCCGGGATGGGAGAACCACCACCTCCTCCCCACTGAGCACGAAGTTTGCACACACTCGCTTCCTCCTTGCCCTGAATGAACACTGTCCTGATGTTTATCTGGACTTTGCAGGCCGCCAGGCTGAAAGCGGGGACACACCGAAGCCCCCCAATAGCCGAGCGCCCTTGGGGGTGCGTAGGGAGGGGAACCAGCCGTACCCATCGCGGGAAGTGTGGACCCACCCGGTTCCCGGTGTGCCGTTCTGCGGAGACCTGCAGGGGCGCTATTTCTCATTTCCCGCCCAGACCGCTCTTCCCACAGCGAGCAGGAGGCTGGGGCAGGAGCTGCCCAGGTGGTGGTATGCATTGATTGGGGCGCATGAGGTGAGGGTCTCCCTTCATCTTTGCTCCCAGCAGTTAATGTGCTATCTTCTTTTTTTTTTTTTTTTTTTTTTTTTTTTTTTTTTTTTTATTGAATCACTGTGGGAAAGGTTACAAAGCTTTCAGGTTTATGTCTCAGTCATGCAAATATCAAACACATTTCCCTTTACCAATACTTATTTTTTACCATGAAGAACCCCAGTAAAACCCCACCCCCACCCCTCCCCGTCCCTGTGAAGCAGATGAATTCTAGTTAACACTCTATCTGCTTTGATTAGATTCATTGTTTCAATAAAAGATTCACCACTATTATTTAGAGTTTACCCCCCCCCCCAAATCAGACATGCTGTAAAAGCATTGTGAAGTGATTTGCTTTCTACGGCTGGGTTCAAGAATTAAATGTTGGTTTTGGATTTCTGCTCTTTTACCTATTGACCCTGGAAGTATTTCTACTGAAAGTCAGATAGTTAAGAAATTGGTTTCTGTGTTCTGGAGTCCTGGCCGTGCTGGAGAGCCGCTCGCGGGGGGCAACCGGTGGCCTCGGTAGGGCGTGAAGGGCGGACCGAAACGCCCCCCTTCCCATGAGGTTTTAGTCGCCCCCACACTCCCGGCTCATACCTGCTGTCCACAAGGCTCCCATGTGGCCGCCATCTTTCTTTCCAGAGAGGAGAGGGCGAATGGGGCAACACCCTTTCCCCTCCGGCAGACTTGATGGCCTGGATCAATGCAGAGTCCGTTCACTTTTCTGCTCCAAGCTGCTGGGTTCTGCATTAAGTCCTTGTGCTTCTGGGGCCGTGGCCGTGCTGGAGAGCCGCTCGTGGGGGGCAACTGGTGACCTCGGTAGGGCGTGAAGGACGGACCAGAACGCCCCCCTTCCCATGAGGTTTTAGTCGCCCCCACACTCCCGGCTCATACCTGCTGTCCACAAGGCTCCCATGTGGCCGCCATCTTTCTTTCCAGAGGGAGGAGGGCGGAAGGGAGCAACACCCTTTCCCCTCTGGGCAGACTTGATGGCCTGGATTAACGCATAGTCCTTTCACTTTTCTGCTCCAAGCTGCTGGGTTCTGCATTAAGCCCTTGTGCTTCTGGGGCTGTGGCCGTGCTGGAGAGCCGTTCGTGGGGGGCAACTGGTGACCTCGGTAGGGCGTGAAGGACGGACCGGAACGCCCCCCTTCCCATGAGGTTTTAGTCGCCCCCACACTCCCGGCTCATACCTGCTGTCCACAAGGCTCCCATGTGGCCGCCATCTTTCTTTCCAGAGAGGAGAGGGCGAATGGGGCAACACCCTTTCCCCTCCAGCAGACTTGATGGGCTGGATCAACGCATAGTCCGTTCACTTTTCTGCTCCAAGCTGCTGGGTTCTGCATTAAGTCCTTGTGCTTCTGGGGCCGTGGCCGTGCTGGAGAGCCGCTCGTGAGGGGTGACTGGTGACCTCGGTAGGGCGTGAAGGACGGACTGGAACGCCCCCCTTCCCATGAGGTTTTAGTCACCCCCACACCCCCGGCTCATACCTGCTGTCCACAAGGCTCCCATGCGGCCGCCATCCTTCTTTCCAGAGAAGAGAGGGCGAATGGGGCAACACCCTTTCCCCTCCGGCAGACTTGATGGCCTGGATTAACGCATAGTCCTTTCACTTTTCTGCTCCAAGCTGCCGGGTTCTGCATTAAGTCCTTGTGCTTCTGGGACTGTGGCCGTGCTGGGGAGCCGCTCGTGGGGGGCAACTGGTGACCTCGGTAGGGCGTGAAGGACGGACCAGAACGCCCCTCTTCCCATGAGGTTT